GTTGTTGTTTTGCTTTTTTTCCCCAGGCTTGAACTCAGGGCCTGGATGCTGTTTTTGTGCTTTTTGGATCAAAGCTAGCACTCTAACCCTTGAGCCACAGCTTCACTTTTGGTTTATTTTCTTTGTTATTTTGAGTGTGTGTGTGTGTGTGTGTATGTGTGTGTGTGTGTGTGTGTGATCTATGGAGATAAGAATTTGTGTGTGTGTGTGTGTGATCTATGGAGATAAGAATCTCATGAACAAACTCGCCTAGTCATTGTCTTTGAATTGTGATCCTCAGATCTCAGCCTCCTGAGTAGCTAGGACTACAGGACTACAGACATGGGCCAAAATTCTGATATTCAGCTTGTGTGCATGGTGTCTCACACCTGTAATCCTAGCTACTCAGGAGGCTGAGACCTGAGGATCCCAGTTTGAAGGAAACCAGAACAGGAAAGTCTTGAGATTTGTTATCTCCAATTAACTATCAAAAAGCTGGAAATAAAGCTGTGGCTGAAGTGGTAAAGCTTCAGTCTTGAGCAAAAAAAGCTCAAGGATAGCACCCAGGCCCTGAGTTCAAGCCCCAGGACTGGCATACTAGTGCTCGCGCTCATGTTCGCTTACACACGCACGCACGCACACACACAAAATCTACACACACAAAATCTACACACACAAAATCTACAAATCTACACACAAAATCTACACACACAAAATCTACAAATCTAGTATGACACTGTAATCTCAATACCACACAGTTCACAATTCAGTTTACAACAAAAAGCATTAGATTTCTAACAAGTAGAAAATGTAGATAAACACTACTATATCATAACCCAGATGAGCCCTAGGACACCCCCCACCTCACCCTGTTTTGAGAATGAACTCACAATCTTCTGCTTGCCAACTAGGAACTCTACTACTTGAGCTACACTTCTGGCCCTAGAACTCCTTTCTAGAACCCAAAGCACTTGCTGAGCTATTGTCTAACTCATTAACTGACTATTAATATTATTAGACCTGAAAATATCTTCATGTGACTTTTACTAACATACTGACTCCTACTTTACATAAAGCAAAAGAAGTATCTTACTCAGTGACCCAGCCCCCAAGGAGGACAAAGAGAAACTCAAAGAACCAAATCTGTGCCAGCACACAGGAGGGCCTGCTGGATTCCTAGCACCTTGTGCAATGTCTCCTTCTTCATAACTTCAGTACACAGGATAGTACAACACTGACCACTACTATTCTGACCACTTGGGATTTGGGAAAGCTGCTAAGTAGCTTGACTTGGAGTGGTTGAAACAGTTGGTGCATTACAGAAAAAGAGGGGAAAACTACTGTGCTTTGTACAAGTTCATGTCAAATCAGTATTTGAAACACTTTGATGCTTCTGTGCATTGTTAGAATGGAGGTACAGAGCCCCAACAATCAAGTTGTGTAATACAAATGTTACATTAATAATTTTCTATTTTGTTTAGGGAATAATGACAAGGAAAAAAAAAGACTGAACTACAAACTTTGTGCAGATGCAATTTAAAGAAAAATCATTTTCAATTTGTGGTTGAAGCAGTGGATACAGAACACATATGGAGTACTGAATGTGTGCATACATATTTATGTGCACGTAGATAGTCAATAAGCACATTCCTGGAAAGGAGCTTAACATCATTTGCCAACAAGGAAAAGGAACCCACATGGAGATAGGACATCAGACTCATTATGGTTACTATAATGAAAATGACAACCATTGATGAGGATGCAGAGAAACTAGACCCTCACACATAGTTGGTGAGAATGGAAAGTGATGCACCTGTTTTGGAAAAGTGTAGTAGTTCTTCAAAATAATATGGAGCTACCACAGGATCTGATAATTCTACTCCTAGATATGTATAAGAAAAATGAAAACATGTGCCCTCACAAAGCTGTACACAAATGTTCCTGGCAGTATCACTAATAAAAGGTAGACACAAAAATATCTATCAGTTGCCGGGCGCTGGTGGCTCACGCCTATAATCCTAGCTACTCAGAAGGCTGAGATCTGAGGATTGCGATTCAAAGCCAGCCCGGGCAGGAGAGACCGTGGGACTCCTATCTCCAATAAACCACCAGAAAACCGGAAGTGGCACTGTAGCTCAAGTGGTAGAGCGCTCCTCGCCTTGAGCTGCAGAGCTGAGGGACAGCGCCCAGGCCCAGAGTTCAAGTCCCACGACCGACAAAAAAAAAAAAAAAAAAATATCTATCAGTTGATAAACAGATATCGGTAAGTCTTACAATGGAACACTGTTTAGGAATTTAAAAGATGTCAATCTCAAAAGAAATAGATATTTTAATTCCAAATATATGAAATATCAGAATAGGCAAATGTATAGACAGAAAGTAGATTGTTGTTGGAAGCTGGGAACTGGAGGCTCATGCCTATAATCCTAGCTACTCGGGGGCCTGAGGTTGAAGGATCTCAGTTGGAAGCCAGCCTGACAAACCTGAGAAATTCTAGCAAAAAGCCTAATAAAGGTGTGGATGCAGTGACAGACTACTATCTTCAAACAGAGAAAGCTAAGCAAGAGCAGGAGACCCTGAGTTCAAGCCTCAGTACCAGCGTGCGCACACACACACACACACAAGTTGTTGGCTGCCTAGGGCTGGGAGTAGAAACTGGGAAAGACTAGATGACAAAGAAGACTGATAATGGGTATGAGAATTCTTTATAGAATGATAAAAATGTCCTAAGATTGGTTGCAATGGTAGCAAATGTGATTGTGGAAATGGATAAGCTTTAATGTTAAAAAGTAACTTTGAGTCCTTGCCTTGCTAATAATAAATGCTATGGAAAATTGGGCAAATTATACAGTATCCCTCAGTCTCTTCATAAATTCAGAAAATAATGCCTATCTTAACTTGGTTGTTTGAGCATATATTTGTTTTATATCCACTATGAAATGGTGCCCAGTAAGATTCCTTTCTTTAGCCAGTTCACATATATAAATCAATTTGGGAGGTCCATCTCAGCTAATTTTCCTTTCCCCTTGATTGTTGGAGCTCTGTACCTCCATTCTAACAATGCACAGAAGCATCAAAGTGTTTCAAATACTGATCTGACATGAACTTGTACAAAGCACAGTAGTTTCTCCGCTTTTTCTGTAGTGGACCAATTGTTTCAACTACTCCAAGTCAAGCTACATGCCAGCATTCCCAAATCCAAAGTGGTCAGGATTTGTGATCAGAATAGTAGTAGTCAGTGTTGTACTATCCTTTGTATTCACTCTGCTTCCCTTGGACTGCTCCTATGATCTAATGTTTGTTCAATGTAACTTTCTATAATGATGACAGCCACATGGGTCTACTGAACACCTAAAATAAAACTAGTTTCACAAAACTGAATTTCTGGGGAGGGGGAAAGGAGAACAACTCACAGAATGGTTTGAACACATAGCTTTGTGCTTGGTAGGCTGATGCACTACCACCACTACACCTCTAGCCACTTTTTAGTGATTATTTTCAAGGATCTCATGACTTTTTCCTCCCAGATTAGCCTCTAACCTTGATCCTTCTCTGTCTTTGGAGTAGCTGTAGCTAAGATTACAGGCATGAGCCACACAGGCATAGGCATGGAACTAAAATTTTAACTTTATGTTTAAATTTTAAATACAATCAGTGCTATTGAACATGCATAGGTTAAACTTGCCAGAAGTCCACCAATTCAAACTAAAATCAAAATTTCCACTCCCTGGTTAGAATGGTTGCCCCAAATAAGTTAAGCAGTCCATGATAGTCTCTGATTAGCTATCTCAGAAGCATACACTAGCAATCTTAATTAGAAAATGCTAACAGTACCTACTATAGATAATACTAAGGCGTTAGGCATTGTGCACACTAATTTGCCAACTACCAGGTAGTATAACCAGTTAATCTTCAGAAAACTTCTAGTGTTTTCAAGTTCATAGTTGAGTTTTCTTCCTGAAGAACTGCAAGAATGTGTGTTGCTTTTCTTTTTTTAATAGAGGCTAAAGGAGTTTGGTTGCTGCAAGCATTGGAAACATCGCGTGTAATCGCTGTAATTTAATGAAATATTCAGGCACACGCCTGAAATCATTAAAAATTTGGCTTTTGTAAATATAACTTTTCCCTAATGTTATCATTACCAGATCCACTAAAGGTTTGGGTGCGGTTCAATTCAACCCAGACACTATTTTACAAGCAGTAACTATTAGCATTTGCCATTGACAGGTAGCAAGAAATTAGGGGAGGGAGAGAAGGAAGGGAGGGAGGGGGGAGGTGGTGGGCGGGCAGGGGCACTGGAAGGCAGGGAGGCCAGGAAGCAGGGAGGGAGTTCATCAAGAGTTGTGACCCAAGTCATCAGACAGAATTTGTACTGGAAAATTCTACGCATAAAGACCAGGGTGTAGACGACCAAGTTAAGAGCTGGTGGGGAACACGTTAGAAGAGAGAAAAATGTCACACAGCCCCAGGGGTAACAATTCAGGTCTGTCAAGATCACCCAAGACAACCTGAAGGGAAACCCACCAACGCTGGACCCCACCCCCAGGAAAGCCCCCCGCCTCTGGGCTGGCCCCCGCCTCTGGGCTGGCAGGCATCCGGACCGCGGGGAAGAAGGTGGGTCTCCCTTTTCAGTGGAAACCGACACCCTTCCAAACGGCTTTTCAAGCAACTAAACCCCAGGACCATTTATTCCGCTTCTGAAAGCCCCACCGCTCTTCTCAACCAATTCAACTTTCGTTGGGAGGCCAACGAAGCTTCCTCCGAGGTAGCTAACTACCAACCTGCCGGGGAGAAGTGAAGAGGGATGGCCATTCTCCGAGCCTGAAGGAAGCCGTGCCGCACCATGGGGGCCGCCATCTTGGCGCGTACCAAGAGCCACGCCGGGCCGGGGGAGTGAAGGTCAGCGGAGGAGGCGGGACATTCCTGAGGCGGACGAATCGCGTTCGGCGCTCCGCGCTGTCAGGGCCTACGCTGCGTCTCTCCTCCCCTACTTCCGCAGTTTGGTGCGGCCTAAGGGAAATATGGCTGCGGCCTTTCGGTGCGTGGAGCGAGCTCTGCTGCAGGCGCCACGAGCTTCGGCTTACTCTGATGTGGTCGGCTCCGGCACCACCTGCGGCCGCTGCCGCCTCCCCTGCCCCGTCGGAGGTACTCGCAGCCTCAGGCCGTGAAGGAGGGAGGGGTGGAGGAGCAGGGAACGTTCAGCCCGGGCCGGGTCTCTCTGGAGCAGCGGCGCTCTGGCTCGGAGCGGGCCCTCGTCCTTGGCTGTGCCCGGGGGGCAGCAGTGCTCCCGGGGGGCAGAGCGCCCCCTTCGCGGCGCCCCGAGCCCGGAGCACGCCCGGGGCCGGACCTCGAGGGTTACAGCGCAGCTTCGCGGGGATCGGCTTGGTCTCCCAGAATTCCCCTTCCTTTTGGGTTTGCAATCAATGGAGTAGGCTCCTGGAATTTGGAGTCTCAGCTCAGGGGTCATCATTCTCGGAATTATCCCTTAGCCTCTTTATAAAAATGGTGAGGCTCGAGAAGGGTAGTGAAGGATAATAAGAATATTTGTAACCTCGTGTCAGGCATCGTTCTAGGGCTTTACAGACATTGTTTAGGTTCCTTCCGACGTCATCATTAGGAGAGTAAAGAAATAAGTCTTCTGCCCAGAGTCAGACAACTGATTGCTACAGGAAGGATTTGAACTTGGCCTATGGTAGAGAGCAGCACCAAATCACTTCACTGGACTGCCTTTTCATAAATAAATAGCAATTGTCCCCTTAACGTATGTGTAGTCACGTATGCAGTGCTGGGAAGTGAACTGATGAGCTTATTTCCCCAGTTCTATATGTAGACGTAGCAGTGTATTATTGTTTCCCAGCTATTGTGCCACACAATTTTAGTGCATGATTTGGCCAAACTTCCATCTGTTTTAGCTCATGCACAGACAAGGATCCTAATGAAAGGATATCATTTCCAAAACTTACTAAGCTGTAATCGGTGATTTCTAATTTGATTTTAAGGATACCAAGTCCAGATCTGAAAGGCCATAACCTTTTCATTTTGTAAATGACAAAATCGAGAGTTCCAACTGACACACAGTAGCTTTTACCCCTGCTGATGCTTCTTAGATAAACCAAACCTAAATGGGTTTGTTTTGCATTTAAATAAAAGCTATTAGGAGTTTAGTTGTTCCTTTACTGCACTTAAAGCAGAAAGCTTATTAGTCCTTCAAATCCCTGCTTCCTGACTGCCAATCCTGTACCCTGTAATTTGTAGCTTTCAACACCCCCCAAAAAAACTTGCTAATTTGTATTCTGGTAGTTAGGCCTTCCCCCAGCCCTTCCCCAGGGATAAAGTCATGTAAGTGATTATATATATTAGGAGAAATAAGGTTAGTTAGAGATGACCAAGCTGTACTCCCATTATTTACTAAGTATAAAACATTCTAAGTTACTTTTCTTCTTTTAATTTTTAGCTAAAAGATACCTACTTACAGATAATATTGTGAAATTAAAAGAATTTCAACAGAAGAAGGTGGTTGTTGCCTATAATCTTCCTGGTACCAAAGGTAACATAACCTTTTTGTTGATTTTTTTCATCAACTGTTATTTGAACTTCCTTTCTCTGTCCCTGTTTCTTCTCTCCAGTGATGACCTGTGTCATAAATAGAATCGGGAACATTTATTTAGTTTCCTATTCTACCTTTCATCCCATATGCTACTTCCATAAAGTCTACAGCTCTACTTTTAACCCATCTGCTATAGATCTGTGCTGTTCAAAACATGGCTTTTACATCATCATCATCAGTTGGGAGACCGGTAGAGATGCAATGGAAAGGCCTCAATGATTCACATGAATTGTGTAGGTTAAAAACTCCAGGAAGTAGCACTGTGGCTTAAAGTGGTAGATCTCTAGCCTTGAAGGAAAAAGCTCAGAGACAGCACCCAGGCCCTGCATTAAAGTCCCACGACCAACAAAAAACAAAGGAAACAAACTCCAGATAACTTAAACTTCATTGTAACAAGAAAAACATCTGAAATGAAATCATAGGAAACAAAACAGTGATGTTTGTGATGGTGCATTTTGATAATTTTTCCTCTGCTGGAAAATTCCACAGGTTCAGAAATTTGTATGAACTGTGGAATTTACTATGAATAGTCTAGTGTGGTTGAGGAATATGGAGGAAACAAACAGGGAATGTTGGGAATGTGGCCTAGGGGTAGAGTGCTTGCCTAGCATGCGTGAAGCCCTGGGTTTGATTCCTTAGTACCACATAAACAGAAAAAGCTGGAAGTGGTGCCGTGGCTCAAGTGGTAGAGTGCTAGCCCTGAGCAAATGAAGCTCAGGGACAGTGCCCAGGCCCTGAGTTCAAGCCCCAGGACTGGAAAAATAAAATAAAAATAATGTAATTATCCAAGCTGAGTGGTCATTATATTGTTTTCTCTACCTATAGATATGTTTGAATTTTTATTGTAAAATAAAATGAAACCAGTAAAACCCAACTACCCTAGGTTCCATTCCCCCTCCTCCCCACTTTTTTGGTCGGCCATGGGGCTTGAACTCAGGGCCTGGGCTGAGTCCCTGAGCTCTTGTTCAAGGCTATCACTCTACCACTTTGAGTCACAGCTCCACTTCCAGTTTTTGAGGAGTTAATTGGAGATAATGTAATAACCCCTGGGGCCACGATAATCAACAAGGCCCCAATAGGCAGCATGGTCCCAAGGTCTGGCCTGCTGGAAGGGGCAGGGCATCATGAAGCGAGCCTCATGCTCCACAGACCGGGCCACGGGACAGAGCAGGACATTGAGAGGCTGATGTCACTGCCCCTTGGGGTGTGCTGGGGACGCAGCCTGCGTGCTCTGAGCGGGGAGCAAGGTTAGGAGGAAAACAGTTCTGAGGGAGGAGTGGGGAGTCTGGAGGAGACCTGAAGTTCTGAGGAGAGGAGAGTAAGAGAAAGACCTAGAGTCCTGAGGGAGGAAGGGAGAGTGACAAGGAGAGTAGTAGGAGTGGAGGGAGAGAAGGCAGGAGGGGAAAGCCTCCCGGAGCAGAGCAGGGCAGGCCTGTGGAGGTCAGGGCAAACCTTGAGAGGCCATTTGGGGCCTCCTTGAGGGGCCATTCAGAACCTCCTCCGGAGGCCATTCAGGGCTTCCTCTGGAGGTCATTTGGGACCTCCCTCTAGAGAGGCCTGTGGAGAGACTCCTCCTAGAGCAGAGCAGGGCAGGCCTGTGGAGAGTGGAGGGGCCTGCAGAGAAGGAGGAAGGGAAGAAAGGGAAAAGCCTTCCCCTTTGGAGCTTTGGAGGTCTGAGGTTTGGAAGTTTGGTGGTTTGTAGACCAACTAATAAAGGTCGGGGTGGGGGTGGAGGTGGAGGTCAGGTTTGGTGGTTGAGGCTGCTGTTGGTTCTGGGTATTTAGCCCAGGACAAGTTTCAGGACCCCTTTCTGGTGAAAATAGTGTAAATAAACTTCGTTTGTTCACCTTTCACTGTGCCTCGATGGATTGTTTCAGAGGTCATAAGTTTAAGAGTCTTACAAGGGACTTTTCTGCCTGGGCTGGCTTCAAACCATGATCCTTAGATCTCAGCCTCCTGAGTAGTTAGGAATACAGGTGTGAGCCACCAACACTGGGCTCTTTCCTCTTTTGTAATAGCTCTTGTTTGTCCCTGTTGACTAACCAGCTCTCCTTCCTCACTGTTAAATGTCAGCACTTGCTTAATACTTCCTGTCTCCATTCTGTCTCTGTCTGTTCTTAAAGAAATCAGTTTTCCCTTATTCCGCTGATCCTAGTGCCTTCTATGGGACACAAAGATGGGAGTGGGGTGGGTATGTTTATCTGCTGTTTAATTCAGTCTGTATTTCACTTCTCTTTTAATTTTTCCCTTTCTGTTTTTGAGCTGTGTGAAGTTCACAGGCAGGGCTCCAGGTCACTGTCTAGACAGTGTTTCTCCTTGTCATAGTTTATGTCACAAACAAAATCTACCAGTCCTTTAAAGAGCAGCAAACCTATTTAGTGATGGAGTACTTTCTGTTTAGAGGATTGGTCTTTTTGTCATGTACCATTGAATAGTAAAGATACCAAGAGGATTCAAAAGAGGGAAATTGCCAGGCACCAGTGACTAACACCTGCAATCCTAGCTACTTAGAAGGCTAAGATCTGAGAATCACAGTTCAAAGCCAGCCCAGACAGGAAAGTCAGTGAGACTTTTATCTCCAATAAACCTGGGCTAAACTCTGAAATAGTAGTTCTCAAATTTTAGTATATCAAAGAATCACCCAAAAAATAAAAAAATGCCTTTTCTTACTCTCCTGTTCCCAGAGGCTATGTTTTAGAGAAAACCTTGGGTCATGTAGCCTGTAGCATGTATGCTTTGGGAACCATCTCTGGTTTGAGTGCTCTAGAGGAATCAGCAAATGGGCCCAGAGCCCCTCTCTGTGCACTTGTGGCCTAGATCAGACTTCTTGCAGTCTTACTCTGTCTGGATGATGACTACTATTCTATACTTTCCAGAAACCTATTTTAGAAAACTGGAAGACAAATTGACCCAGAACAAACTCATCTTAAAGGAAGAGTTGCAAACTTTGCTTCATTTGTGTCAATCCCGGGATGATGTGGAGCTAGCAAAAAATGTCATTTACAGGTAAGGCATTTCCTTAGAAGTCTGCCAGCTCTTCCCACTGTTCCTTTCCCAGAGTGGTCTCATCCAAGATTTTAACTGACTCATACACTGATGACCCCCAGATATCGTGTCCACATCCCACCTTTAACTCTGGACATTTATACTTACACATTGTGCTAATACTTACTGGGTTCCTACTACTTACATGACAGGAGTTGAGGATATTGAAACCATATAAACCAGTTGCACAGGGCAGACGTTTTGGAGTCTTTCTGATAACAGAAGAAACTATTGCGTTTCCTCTCCCCAGTACCTTTCCCTATCCCCTGTTCAAATCAAGCTTCAGTGTCTTTTCTGTGGACCCCTATAGTGGGTTCCTAATTCTTCTTCCTCAGTCCTTAAGCCCATAATGCCGAGCCACTATTAGAGTTCCTGCGTGAGAGAGAAGGTGCTGGAGATCCTAGGTCTTCTTCACCTGAAGTTTTGGAGACTCAGCATTCTATTTTATCCCAGCCTCTCCCTCTTCCTATCATCCTCACCATTCATTAACCTAGCTCTGGCTGCACTAACCAAAACATGTCTAGAAACTGTCAGACCGTGGAGATACTGCTGACCACAAATGGCCCAGTCTTGACCAGGCCATGTTACCTGGCCAGACCAAAGCCAAGCCTCAGGAGAAGTAGATCCCACCTCTGGATGGATAGTACATATACAGGAAGGAAAGGAACATACACATACAAGAAGGGAAGGAACTAACCGCAGCTATCTTTGAAACCCATTTAATGTTTTCATATTTTTCTCATACAAAGGATTTATGCTTTTGATAGGTTTTATTTCACATCTCCAATTATTATATATATTGGTATTTTGTTTTCTAAATTAATAAAGGATAAATATTTGTCTTGCATATTTAGGAATACAAGATTCCATTAATATTAGGTATTTTTATTAATTGTGTCCTATTGTTGGACATCAGAATTACTATTTTCAGTTTTCACTAATACAAATAATGTCACAATGAGACCATTATGCATAAAATTTATTCTTTGTTTCTGTTTTGTGGTCAGAGAGCATATTAGTCAGCTTTTCAAAATACTTAAGGCAAGCTACTTATGAAGAGAAAATACATATTTAGCTCACAGTTTTGAAGGTTCTAGTGCATGGGACTGACACTGGCTCAGTTCTGGTGAGGATTCTCTTGACTGTATCACATCATGGTAGATGGCAATTAGGATAATAACCAATCACATGTTGATACAGGAAGACAGAGATGGTGGAAGCAGGTCCAGGCTTTTATAATAACCCTCTCCTGAGAACTGGGGTAGGACATTTGGGAACCAGTATAATCCCTTTCCATTGCAGCAGCATTCTCAGTTGATCTAAGGTCCTCCCAATTTATTCCACTTCTTAAAAGATCCATATCACCTCTCAGTATAGCTGTTGAGGTACACAGACCGTTAGTAAACAAGCCAAATTCAAACTGTAATAGGACACAAACTTTTTAAGTCTTGTAAATGTAGAGTCTCAGATTATTTTTACAAAAGGATGATACCATTTTATAGTCAAGCTATCAAAAAGCAAAACTTTTGTTTCACTTGACAATGGCAAATTATTTGAGACCCTCCAGGTAATATTCCTCACTTTTCTTTAAGTTGCCCAAAGCCAACAACTGGACTGGAGATATGGCTCAATTGTAGTGCCATCCTTGAGTAGAAAAAGCCAAATGAAAATGCAAGACCTTTAGTTCGAGCCCTGGTGCCAGCAGTAAAAAAAAAATTATTTTTCAAAAGAGTAATTAGTTTTGCTAGGTGACTGTAACTCACACATGCCTTTTGAGCTTAGAAAAGCAAAGATTGCTATATATTAAAAATATGTTATTTGGTTTATTTTTGGTTTTTTTGTTTGTTTTTTTGTCAGTTGTGGGACTTGAACTCGGGGCTTGGGCGCTGTCCCTCAGCTCTTCAGCTCCATGCAAGCCCTCTACCGCTTGAGCCATAGTGCCACTTCCGGTTTTCTAGTGGTTTATTGGAGATAAGAGTTTCACGGACTTTCCTGCCCGAGCTGGCTATGAACTGTGATCCTCAGATCTCAGCCTCTTCAGTAGCTAGGATTACAGGTGTGAGCCACCGGTGCCCAGCTTGTTATTTGTTTCCTTGTGTGGGCATGAACCCAGTTCCTGGGAGTACAGAGCATCACCCAGCTCCTTCCTTTTATTCTCCTGTGGGGCTGTTCCCTAGCTTATTTCTGTACTCAGTCCCAGCCAGTTGTTGCTTAATACAGAAGATGATTACAATGTACATTTTTATGTTATTTCACAGACTGTGTTGGCCTCTAAGAAATGTTTGTTTAGGGCTGGGAAGGTGGCTCCGTAGTAGAGTGCTTGCCTCGCATGCACGAGGCCCTGGGTTTGATTCATCAGTACCACATAAACAGAAAAGGCCAGAAGTGGCACTGTGTCTCAAATGGTAAAGCACTTGCCTTGAGTTGAAGAGCTGAAGGACATCGCCCAGGCCCAGTGTTCAGGCCCCACATCCAACAAAAAAAGAAAAAAAACTTTGTTTAAATGCCTGCTGTATTGACTTCTGCTTCTTCCCTTACAGGTAGAGTCATTCTTTATTCTGTCTCCATCACCAAGCAGAGTGCACAGAATGGTTTGTGTTTCCCTTCTGCCGTGCCACACCTTTGGGCTCATTAAATCACTTTGATTGCCAGGTACCATGCAGAAAACAGAAATATCACTTTGGGGGAATATAAATTTGGACCACTTTTTATGAGGCTGTGTTACGAGTTGAATCTTGAGGAATCTGCATTGGAGCTCATCAAAGATCAGGTTATTGTTCCCTGATTCCCTCTCCTGCCTGTGTGATTTCCTCAAGGGTGCTTTTGGTATATCACAAAAGACATCTTTTCAGTGTACATTATACTTGGATTGAGTAGTCAGAGAAAGGTCCCTGAGCTGAATAAATGAGATAATCACTGTATTTTTAGAGGGTTGCTTCAAGCTGGTTTATATGATGAACTTGTAGGTCTCAGGTCAAAGAAGTAGGTACCTACAGGTATAGGTATTGATATCATGATGTCTGCCCACTGTGGATGTATTGACCTGGGGCATGCATCCTCTCAGGAGTTTTCAAAGGAATATGCTTTAACATAGGCTGCCATTTTATGACTGCTGTTCTGTCCTGCATCTGTGATCTCTTGTTGTTGAATATTTATTTTTGATCAAAGACTACATTTGTAAACTACTTGCCCATTTTCCAAAATGTTTTTTCATTTAATTTTAAAAAAATTGCTTTTGTAATTACTTATTGAATATCTACTATGTAGTCAGCATTGTGCTTAAGCCCTTGGCATACTTCATTGTTTCCCGCAGTGGCTCTGAGGAGGTAGGTAATAGTTGCTATTTCCCTTCTACAGAAGAGGCCACTGGGACCTCGAGAGTATTATACATTCATCCACAGTCAGAAACACTTGTTAAATTTTGAGATAGGTGCTAGACACCATATACATATTAGTGCATTTAGGAACCCCCCATAACGATTTAATTTGTTCTTCTCTTACTTTTCATATAAAGTGTTCTCTTCATGACAGAAGTATTAATCTTTAGCTTGGCTGTTGTTTATTTGGTTGTTTAAAAAAACAGTACCTTGATATGTGGCCCATTGTGGTCTTGTACTTCAGATTCTCTTGTCTCAGTATCAAGAGTGCTTAGATTACATATCCTTCTTTAAGACACCCTAGATGACCAAGATATATTAGTAAGTATATATTAAAGGTAGTTTCAGACTAGTACTAATAATTGATCTTCTTTTCTTAAACAAGAAATAATGCACTGTACTGTCTATGAAAAGTCTAGAGACTAAACTGCAGGTTTTGAATTTCTCAAAACTCACTTTTTACTTCATTTGTGTTGTTTGGTGTTGTTTTTCTGCTGATACTGGGGCTTGAACTCAGGGCCCAGCTTTGGCTTTGCTTTTTCACTCAAGGCTGACACTCTACCACTTGAGTTATACCTCCATTTCTGGCTTTTGCTGGTTAATCGGAGATCAGAGTTTCTTAGATTTGTCTTCCTGGGATGACTTTGAACCTCAGTTTTCAGGTCTCAGCCTTCTGAATAGTAGGATTGCAGGTGTGAGCCACTAGTGTTTAACTATTTTTAATAAACTTGCTTTAATCTTGTAATTAAAGGAAAAGAAAAGTTTCATTTTAATAAGCAGAAGTCATGAGTATAACAATAAAAACAAATTTAAATAAATATAAGTGAAGTCTTTTTAAACTACTTGGGTATGAGAACTTCATGTCTAAGTAAACTTTCTAGAGGAGTATAACTGAATCAAGAATGAGTGACTTAAGAGTCACTCCACCAATGACACTCATCTGAAGTCTTACTACATCCCCACTCTCTTCTCTCTCTTTAGCCTGTTTTTCTGTTTGTCATAGCCCTATTGGTACCTCAAATTGCATAGCTTTTTTTTTAACTTGCTTATTTGCTTGTTTGTTGTCTCTCCCACCAGAATTTTAGCTCTCCTAGATTATAAATCCAACTAGAGGTTAAAGAAGAGTGTATTGTCTTCTCATTTCTTCATTTTCATCTAGAATAGACTCTCACAAAAGAAGAAATTTGAGCCTTTTAAACTTGAGTCCTTTGAATGGCATCTTTGAATATTTTGTATCATATTATTATAGCACTCACAGTGTTAGAAGGATGGCTGAAGAAGATATTGGTCCAAGACTATACAATTTGATTTAGAAGAAATTAACAGCTAATAAGTTATATATCTTTTAAAAAATGACTGAGAGCCAGGTGCCAGTGGCTCACACCTGTAATCCTAGCTACTCAGGAGGCTGAGATCATGGTTCATAGCCAGCCTAGACAGGAAAATCTGTGAGACTTTATCTCTAATTAGCCACCAGAAAGCCAGAAGTGGCACTGTGGCTCAAGTGTTAGAGCACTAGCCTTGAGCTGAAGAGCTGAGGGACAGCACCCAGGCCCAGAGTTCAAGCCCCATGACTGACAAAAAAAATGTCTGAGATCTGATGATTGCATTTGAAGGCAGCCTTGGCAGGAAATTCTATAAGACTCATTATCTCCAGTTAACCAGCATAACACTGAAAATGGAGTTGTGATTTAAGTGATAGAGTACCAACCTTGAGGGAAAATGCTAAGGACAGTGTCCAAGCCCTGAATTTAAATCCCAGTACTAGCCCAATAAACAAATACATTAAGTAATTAAATATTTAAAAATTGCGATGAGAGTAGATTTTAAGTGTTTTACCACAAGGAAGTAGAAGAATATGAAGTAATACATGTTAACTTGACTTAACTATTCCATAATGTCTGTCCAAAACCATATGTATGTAATAAATAGATGCAATCTTTATTGTCATTAAAAATAAATAACAGTTGAAAGAAATGTTGAGTATCAGGTGTTGGCTACAGTAGGTCATGCTTGTAATCCTAGCCACTTGTAAAGTAGAAATTAAGATCCATAAGATCACAGTCAAGGCAAGTCAGGGTAAAAATGTTGCAAAGTTCCATCTCAGCCAATAGGTAGAGACATAGTATTGCACTGTCACCTCTGTTAGGAAGTATGAATAGGAAGATCATGGTCCAGGATAGCCCAGGGATGAAAGTGAGGCTGTATTTCAAAAATAACTAAATCAAAAAGGGCTGGGGGTATAGCACAAGTGGTAGAGTGCCGGCCTAGCAATTTGCAAGGACCTCAGTTTAAAACTCAGATGATGTGGCTCACACATGTAATTCTGGCTAATCAAGAGGATGAGATCTGAGGATCACATTAGAAAAAAACAACAGATCATTTACCATCTAAAAGCTAGAAGTAGAACTATAGCTCAGGTGATAGAGCACTAGCCTTAAGCACAAAAGAACAGTACCCAGGCTCTTGAGTTCAAGACCCAGGACTAGCACAAAAATAAATAAATAAATAAATAGAAATAACAACAAAAAAAGCTGAGTAGCATTGAGAACCATTGCACATTATTTTCAAACGTTTGTAACCAGTTCTGTATTACCTGTTTGTGAAAGGAAGATCCCTCAGCCTACTTCTCAAATGATAGTTTCCATTTCATAGTATAGTTGGTTCCCAGGCTTCAGGGCCACTTTCAGGGTTACTTGTTAATTGACTCAGATGCTTATTTTGAGCATAATAGAGCCACATTTAAGGGCAGATGTTCTTCTCTGTATTTATAAAACAAAGAGATCTCTTGCCTCTTTTTCAGTGCACCATTCCCAAAGCATGACAGCCAAGACAGTAGACAGCAGTTGAACTTGTTCAGAAATAAATCCTTGGTAGATCAGATTATAGAGAATTCAGGAGCTAAATTAAAAAGTATTCAACAAAATAAGAGCTGGATAGAAAAGGTACAAAATATTTATACATAACCCTTAACAGTTTCAAATTTTAATCAACCTGTATTTTTAAAAAGATATTTTTATTGTAAAGATACTGTACAGAGGGGTTACAGTTACATGAGCAAGGCAATGAGTCCATTTCCTATCAAGCATTGTTAGCCCCTCCTTTGTTTATCCCCTACCATCCCTTTCCTTTCCCCCTCCCTACCTCCTCCCCCCCGACAGAAAGTTGTAAAGTTCATTTTCAACAGTGTCTTGTACATCTCATTGTTACAATGGGTCTCAACCTGTTTTTTTTTTATTAGCATTTGCAGGGTTTCTTCTCAGATTCCACATCTTTCAATATTTTGATGGATATGTTATTTACCAAAGGCAAATATGAAAGTAAGTACTACAATCTTTGGTTGCTGGAAAATTCTGCTGCCTTTGCTGGTATAGGAATTGGAAAAAATGGCCCATACAGAAATGATCCTTGTATTCCTTTTGAGAGGTAAAATTATGGAAACCTTATTCATTAAATTTGAAAATGTTGCATTTTATGTCACACCTTAAACAGCTTCAGATTTTGCTTTTGCTAAAATTTTATGTTTAAAACATTAGGTCTGCAAGGTGCAGGTGGCACATACTTAGAATCCTAGCTACTCAGGAAGCTGAGATCTGAGGATCGAGGTTTGAAGCCAGCCTGGGCAGGAAAGTCTGTGAGACTTTTATCTACAGTTAACCACCAGAAAACCTGAAGTGTCACTATGACTTGGAGAAATAGTTTTTAGCATGCTAAAATACACTTTTCACTGCTGGTACTAGCAAGAGTAGAACTGTGGAAGCTAGCTATGCCTGTGTTTTAACACCACTGTGGTCTCTGTTCACAGATGCACTGGAAGTATTGCTAGAGATGAAAAATCAAGATGTGAAGTTCATCAAAGATACCTATGTGCTTGCATTTGCAATTTGCTACAAACTGGTAAGATTGTTTCTCCTTAACCTTCAGGGCCTTATATATAATGTCTAACAGAGGATTTGTTTTTATCTCTCTCTGCCCAATTTTGCCCAAGTTTGCTTTCTATATGTTACAAATATTTCTATTTTAAATGTATTTGGTTTTAGAAAGCTCAAGTCTTGTCAGACAGTTTTATCATAGAGGAACTAATGATCATCTTGACCCTTCTCTGATAATCACGTAAATAGTAGCAAGAGACAGTTGTGATGTTTCAGCACTACTCCAGAGTAGTCTTATATGCTAGACTACTAGATTTGTCTTTTCCTGTTCTCACCTCTAGAAATCTTAGAAGCTTCTGGGGCCAAGTTTAGATTACTTTAGCTTCATCTGTGAAGTTTTTCATGATCACTGTAGCTAAGAGCAACATCATCTCCCTCACTATCCTTTTCCCCTGTTTGTTTCACTTACTGTATTTCTGACTCTGCCTGATTCTGTGCTTAGTAGATGGAGATTCCATCTACCTCTTCAGAGCATGAGTCTGTTGGTATCCAACAAGCCTTTAATAATGGTGCATTAAAATGAACCCTTTGAGGCTAAAATCCAGAACTTAAAAATGCTTATGTCATTACCAGGATTACATCTAGCACATAGAAACTGTTTCTTTAGTACTTACCAAATGAATGAACGATAACTGAAAAAAATAAAATGACCTAAGTTCAGTATTTATTCATGCCATTTAGACTTTGTATACCTGGATAATGAAACTTTTTTTTTAACTGAAAATAAAGAACCTCAAACAAGAGAATAGAGCAGGGGTCATTGAAGAACTCCTCTAAAAGAATTTGTAAAGGGTCTGCCTGCTTGAGACCACTGTTGTAGGAAGACCTCCAGGTTACATCACTGCCACCATGTCTGACCAGAAGGCAAACCTTCAGCTGAGTATTGTGGGCATACAGAAGAAGAATACATTAAATTCAAAGTCATTGACCACGATTGCAATGAGATTCACTTCAAAGTGAAAATGACAAGACATCTTAAGAAAGTCAAAGAATCTTACTGTCAAAGACAGGGTTCTTTTTGAAGGCCAGAGAATTTCTAATATACTCCAAAAGAACTGGGAATGGAGAAAGAAGATGTGGTTGAAGTTTATCAGGAACAAACAGAGTCATTCAACAGTTTAGTCTTTTTTATTTTCCCTTAATCCTTTTTTTATGTTTAAAAGCAATTCTTTTGTAATGTGATATTCAAAATGGAACTGAATACTGTCACTTCTTTAAAACATCTGTTAATTTGAATTCTAGTACTATTCATTATAGTTGTTTTCATTGTGCTGATTTTTGGTGATCAAACCTCAGCACCCTCTTTTTAAAAAAAAATGCTCTCTCATTTAAAAAAAGACATATATGTATACAGAGGCCACATTTTTCAGGACTGCATTTTCAGATAATACCAACCAATGAGAGTGTTCACAAAGACTTTCCAATTGCTCCTGAAGTTCTAGCATGTGATAGCTTCACTCCTGGACCATGACTTCCAGTGGTAGATATAAGTTTTTCATAGAACCAAACTGCAAGAAAATGAACTTTCCTTAACTTGAAATTACTTGTTTGAACCGAAAGAATACATCAGGATTAGAATCAAGCTGGCAGATGTGATAAAACTCATACTTAACTCCAAAGATGGCTTTGCTGAAGAAAAAGCATTTTAAGATTAAAAAAAAAAAAAACTCTTGTCAGAAGAACCCAAAAAAGTTCTACTTTTCATTAAAAGTTAATGAAGTTGTTCATGTAAAATTGTATACAAAAAACAGAAACAAAACAACTTCCCCGAAGGAGTGCATACAGTGCAACAGAAACCAGACTGGAAACTGAGAAACTCTAATCTCCACTTTTGTAATAACTAGCTTTGAACAACTACTCACATCAGTTCATCTGGCTTTCTCTTTTTCTTTCATTTTTTCCTTCTCTTTTTTCTTATTTTTGAGATAGAGTGTTGCATTATAGTCCAGGCTAGCCTTGATTTTGAGATCTTTCTGTCTCAGTCTCCCATGTACTGGAATTGCAAGCCTGTACCACCAGGCCTAGCCTACCCTTGTCTTATTTGTAAACTGATTTGGAGATAGTTAGATTTTTTTCTTTCCCCTAATGTAAGAGAACATAATAAATATTTTTGGCTTCCAGCCGGGCGCCAGTAGCTCACACCTGTAATCCTAGCTACTCAGGAGGCTGAAATATGAGGATCACCATTCAAAGCCAGCCCAGGCAGAAAAAGCCCATGAGACTCTGATCTCCAATAAAAACCACTAGAAAACCAGAAGTGGTGCTGTGGCTCAAGAGGTAGAGTGCTCGCCTTGAGCTGAAGAGCTCAAGGACAGCGCCCAAACCCAGATGGTTCAAGCCCCACAACCGGCCAAAACAAAAACAAAACAAAACAAAATTTTTTTTCGGCTTCCAGACCACACAGTTTCTTCTATACATGATTTCTGTCACATGTTTTTGTTTTAGCAGCCTTTAAAAAAAATGCTGGTGCTAGTTAGTGGCTTATACCTACTATCCTAGCTACTCGGGAGACTGAAATAGAGAGAACTGCTTTTTAAAAAAAGAAAAAATTTGTGTTTTTTTTTTATTATAAAGGTGATGTACAGAGGTGGAGTACTTTTTTTTTTGTTTTTTGTTTTTACAGTATCACCCCTTCCCTCCCTCTATCCTAGAGAGAATTACTTTTGAAGGCCAGCTCAGGCAATAAAGTTCTCAAGACCCTTTCAAAATGAAGAGCTCCTCTTATCCTCACTACAAAAGAAAGTCTAAATTTAGGCAGATCACACCCAGGTGTGCATCCAGGCCAGGAGAGAGACCTTACGCCCAAAGCAACCAGAGAAAAATGAGGCTAGAGCTGTGGCTCAGCAATAAGACTGCCTGCCTCAGCAAGCACAAGGTCCTGAGTTCACAACCCACACCCCCAAACCTCCCCCCCCCCTGCCACCCTGGCAAACATAAAGAATTCAAAACCCTGTCTTAGCTGATGGCTGGATTTGGCCACAGGGCTATGATTTGCTCATCCTGGATTAAAAAATCCTCTCCAATCACACATCATTCTGATTTTGTAAAGTAGAACACCAAGAAAATGCACAACAGCAGAATGTCAGTTATTCAGCACCATGAGTCCTGCTTTTCTGGCCTACTTAGGGATGCCTCCCCAAGTGTGAGTTGAAGGGAGGAGAATTTAATTCGACTACTTTTCCCCTGGGTCATGCCCAAGACTGGTCAGAAAATCGAGCTGGGTCAGCCCCTACAGATTCCAAGTCATCTCCAGAAACAGCCTCTTACCTGATTCAGTGAACCATGTCATGAACTTTATTCAGCTACAGTTGATGTCTTGTTACCATTGTTGTCTTGCTGCTTTGTGTGTGTGTGTGTGTGTGTGTGTGTGTGTTGCTCAGATTTGAGTGGTTTGTTTTTTTAAGGCTTTTGTTTTCATGACATTCTCAAATAATTTATGCTCAAATTTGCACTCATGTTTCCAGATACTAGATTTATCGAGATAGTCTCAGAATGGAGATTCATTGTAAGAAAAAATTCCTGGTGTTATTAAGCATTACTGTATTATTTAGAGTAATATACTGCATATCTATATGTATATACATATATATAGAGAGAGTATACCAATTATACTTATACATTATGAGGCCTGTGTTTAGAAACTAGCCTGCTAGACACACAGACATTAATGTTTGTTTAGTGAAACTGTTCTATGACAGAAATAATTTTAAAAAGTAAAGATTTTGAGGTTGGAAGTGTGGTTCAGCTATAGAGCACTACCCAGTGAGCAAAAGTGTCAGGTACTGGGTTCAAGTCCTGGTCTCAGACCTGAAAAAAAAAAGGTTAACAAAAAGAAAGAAAGGGGCTGGGAAGGTGGCTCAGTGGTAGAGTGCTTGCCTTGCATGCCTGAAGCCCTGGGTTCAATTCCCCAGTACCACATAAGCAAAAAGAAAAAAGCCACAAGTGGCACTATGGCTCAAGTGGTAGAGTGCTAGCCTTGAGCTGAAGAGCTGAGGGACAGCGCCCAGGCCCAGAGTTTAGGCCCCACGACAGGACCCAAAAAAAAGAAAAAAAAAGAAAGAAAAATACATAGATAACTTGGTATATTTGCAAATAGACTCTGTGTGGAGCTTGATTCTTTTAAATGGTTTAAGGAAATTTTTACATTGGGAAACCTGAAATACTATTAATAATGTCATTAAACTTGAAGGCTCATGACATTTACTGTTTCCTCGCAGAATAGCCCAGAATCTTTTAAAATCTGCAATACATTAAGAGAAGAAGCCTTAATGAAAGGAGAGGTTCTCACCAGGAGAGCAATGTGCTTCATTGTGGCACTAGCACTGAAACAGGTAAGGTTTTGGGGAACATGTAAGTGAATTGGGAGTAGACATGCTTCACTTTCATTCATTCTTGCTTTTTAATTTACTTTTTTTCCTTCTCATTGTATTGAAAAGAAACAGCCCCTCAAAGAGAGCCAGAGGTTGCTATGGCAACCTACACATCCACCTATACCCAAAAAGAATTTTATGCATATTTGAGAACCCAACATACATTTCTATTTAGAATGAGTTGATCAAGATCCTGTGGAATGCCAAGGAGGAGAGCTGCACTCTGAAAGTGATTTTGCAAGTAGTTTCTGTGTAATATTCTCAGAGAAGTTTGTGTTCATGTTCTCCAAAGCTGGTATGACTGTAAACTTATGCAGACAGCCCATTGCTACAAGGAGGTTTCAGAGTCAGACCCAACTGTTGAGTTCTAAGTATGGTTTGATTGAGGCTTTGGCATTCATTTAGTTCTCCCACTCACTAAACTCAGTTGGAGGTAGCTGAGGCCCAAAGAGGGGAGACCTCTATGCAATCAGACCTCAGTGAAGGGAGGACAATGAGCTAGAATCCTCAAGTACCTCCTCTGTTAGATTGCCTTGAAGCTAAGATGTCCTATTAAAAGGCCTAAAACATAAGAAATGCAAGTTTGCTCTATAGTGAAAGGAAATTTCATACCAGAAACATTCTAACCAAGTCAGGTTATTTATCCAGCTGGCAAATAGGGCTAGAGAGCTCTTTCGGCTAATTAGAAATCTTATTCTTATCAGGGTGATCAATTATCATATACTGGTAGGAAAAGTCACCGAAGAAGAAAGGTGTTAAGAGGCTACACTTAGCATGCATCCACCGAGCCATGTTCATTTCTCTAACTTCCTGAAATTAATTTCTGCCCAGTAGAATTATTTTGTCCTCATTAATCTGACAGGAGCTGAACAAGATGAATTAATTAAAATCTAAGTCATGTGCAACCCATTTCTTTTTGTGTACTTTTGTACTTTTTCCTTTATAAAGTGTAAGAACACAGTTTGGAGCACAGACACATTGAATCATCTTTGAGAACAATATTATACCCACAGTATCAGTGTAACATTTATATAAGGGGCAGTCTTAGTTGAGTTTACTGTTTTTACCCTGAATTCACCCCTGTTAAATACTGATATTACCACCCTTGGTTTTGTTTCTGTTTTGAGTTGATCAGATTTGAATTTGCTCTATATATACCTTTTCTTACCCTTTTGTTTGTAGTCTTTCTGAATTGTTTTAGGTATACCTTGTACGTTGTCTAAATTTTCAATTTGCTTTGCAATATAGTGCTGGTTTTTCTTGTTTATATTAAGATGATATAAGTATAATCTTAGGTATCATTTTATTTGATGCTTTTTTAATCACTTAAAATTTCTTATGTCACTTTTTTTTCCCCTCTGTGGGTTTTATTTTTTCTCTTGTGGCTACTTAATGACAGACCCTGGGTTGCAATCCCCCTACTTGTGCTACCCTGTATTGCTAGCAGTGATAGACATATGTCACTCACCTAACCATTGTGCTTTTTCTGTGGCTCTGATATTGGCATGTATACTACCATGCCAGCCATTGGTTAAGGTGGAATCTTACCAAACCATTTTTGCCCAGGCTGGCCTCAAACTGCAGTACCCCTGTCCCCATCTGTTCCTCTCAAGTAGCTAAGATTACAGGTTTGAGCCACCTTGCTGGCTTACATACTTTACTTTTTAATCTTCCCTTGCTTTTGATAGTACTGTCATTTCTTCATTGTCCAGATACATAACATATATACTATTCTGTGATCATATTCCTCATTTTCATTCTAATTCTCGATCTGTAGGCTCATTGTTTACTATTAGTTAATCTAGTATTGTTTTCTCCAGTCTTCTCTGTGTTGATTGAAATTTTGCTTCTGGTAAATTCTTCAGAACAGATAATAATCTGTGTTCTTGATATTTAATATTATTTTGTCTTTCATTTCTGTATTTTACCTAATTTACCAAGTTTAATATTTTGAGATGATTCTTGCTTTCCTTGAGGTTTTGCAAAAATGGTTCTTTTTCTCCTACTTTGGAATATTACTGTGGCTGGCCTGACTTTTCTTCCACTTCTGATGGATGAAATCTTGTTTATTTTTCTCATTTCTATTTTTTGTATCTATGAAGACTTTTTTTTTTGTATTGGAGTTTTCTCATCTACTAGTTATTCTCTGATTTCTGTTTTATTGTACTTCTTTCCTCCATTTTTATGAGGTATTATCCTTATGGAGTTCATGTACTATTCTTATTTGATTATTCATTATTGAGAAATATAAATTTCTCATAACCAAGTATAGGAAATTCATATCAGGGAGAGAGAGAGAGACAAACCAACAGACAAACAGACACCAGAAACCTGTTCTAGACTATTAGGCATTTTTTGTTTATATAACAACCCCATATACATTGTAGTTTGGCCCACAGGTATGCACAGGTTTGTTTCTCTCTAGTCAATGGTAACAAGCATTAAGGGGGGTTTCATTGAACTGCCTCTTCTCTGTACAGCTGAAGGGAAGTAGTCTGATCTATGAAAACCATTGACCAGCTTCTCTGCTATCACCAGAAACTTCCCCTTCCTGATCCTGAAGTCTCCCAGCACTGTAAGCAGGACCTGGTTTGTGTACTTCAGGGTGTGCCCTCTGAGACCCCTGTTTAACAGCTGTACTTTGTGGAGCATTTGGATACATGCAGCACTGTCCTCTCAGAACCTTCTCCAGCACGGCACTGTCCTCTTCATAGTGTGGTCCCCTCTGTCTTCCTTTGGTTCAGTGCTGTCCCTTCTGCACAGTGCCCCCCTCTACCTGCTCCTAGACAGCATTGTCCCCTCTCACTGTCTTCTCCTGAACTTTCCCAGGCTCCATCGCCAGCGTCTCTGGCAGCATTCCCACCTCTTCTATGGTTTGAAGCTTCTCTGTTCTAATTATGTCAAACATGGGGTTTGCATTCCTGTTTCTCATTCCTGTTTTTCTTAAAAGCTAGTTCTAATAGGAAGGGAGATTCTAACTTGATGCTTCCATTTTAGAAATTACACTTACTAAGAAAGAATAATATGCCACTGGATGAACCATTTTATGACATTTATTTTTGATTACTAGAACTTTGTTACTTTTAAAACTCTGGAACCCCAAAGTAGGGTGGGAATATTTTGCCTACTTTATAAATGGTTTTATGATAGAGATATTCATATGATTTGGAATGTTACCCTTTTTTCTTCCTAGAACCAAGTGGAAAAAGCTGTATCCATTTTTTCCAAAATCATGAATGCAGAGAGTATAACCTGCATTAATTTAAATGTAAGTGACTCCTTTATGGTTTAAGTGACTTAAGGTATGGTGAAATGTCTACTTTCTTTCTTTATACATATATATGTTTTTTATTGTAAAAGTACTGTACAGAGGGGTTACAGTTACATGAGTAAGGTAATGAGTACATTTTTTATTGAGCATTATTACCTCCTCCTTTGTTTTTCCCCTACCATCCCTTCCCATCCCACCCCCCACCTTCTCTCTCACCCCACCCCACCCCCCCTCCGCCAAGTTGTAAAGTTCGTTTTTAATATAGTGTTTTATACATCTCATTGTTACAATGGGTTAACCGTATCCTTATTTCGGTATTTTGTTATTTCCCTTCCCCTCCCCAAATTAAAAAAATGTATATACAAGATGCAGGGCACTGGAATCAAATACAGTGAAAATAGGGGTTATACCATGGGGGAAGAACATACAAGAAAAACAAAAAAAAAAATCACATAGTACATTTTAAGTACGTTAAAAACAATAGCAAGAAAGTAAAAACCACTTGTGTCCCTATCTTGGGGTTCATTTCACTTAACATCATCTTATATGGTCATATGTACATAGCTTTTGACCTTTTCGGCTTTTCCTAGTCTTATTCTAGTTATTGCAAATAAGGGAAACCATGGGACCTATGTGTGTTTGGGCCTGACTTCACTTAATATAATTTTTTCCAGGTCTTTCCATTTCCTAACAAATGGGACGATGTCATTCTTTCTGATGGAGGCATAGAATTCCGTTGTATAAATATACCACATTTTTGTGATCCATTCATCTATTGAGGGGTATCTGGGTTGGTTCCATATCTGAGCTTTGGTGAATAATGCTGCAAGAAACATAGTTGTGCTGGTAGCTTTAGTATAGCCTTGTCTGTTTGGGTAAATGCTGGGTCATAGGGGAGCTCTATTTGGAATCTTTTGAGGAACCTCCATATGCCTTCCAAAGTAGTTGAACAAGTTTATACTCCCACCAACAGTGCAATAGGGTTCCCTTTTGGCCACTCCCCTTCAGAATCTGTTGTTCTTAGAGTTCTTGATTAGAGCCATTCTAACTGGGGTGAGGTGGAATCTCAATGTTGTTTTGATTTGCATTTCTTTTATGGCTAGAGAAGTTGAACATTTCTTCATGTGTCTATTGGCCATTCTTATTTCCTCTTCAGAGAAATTTCTCTTTAAGTCTTTAGCCACTTATTTATCCGGCAGTTTCTTTGAGGATTTGTTGTTGGGGGATTTAGTTTACTTTCTTTTTCGTGTGTGTATAATACTTGATCTCAGTTCATCAGAACAGTCATTAGTGGAGTTCTGCTGAGTGTATGTTCACCCATGAGGAGAGTCAGCACAGAACTACTCCAGCAGCTTAGGATCAGGTGGGAGACATAAGTATGTGTAGTGTCAGACAGGTTTAAATGCTGAAGGTGTGAGGTATGACTAGGAAGTCTGTGGAGGTAGAGAAGGAGACTAATGGAGGCTGACCTACCAGCCTCTTTACCTAGCCTCTATCCTACATGCTACTTGGATCATATCTCTGGTAGCAACTATAATGTCATTGTGATTAATGACCTAGTACATCTTGGAGCATTAGTGTCTGACACCTGGTGAGCACTCAATAGATACTTGTTATTGTCCTTATTCTATTGCCAGTCTACCAGTGCTCAGGACAGCCTATGCTATATACCCTGTCTCAAAAAACAAACTAAACAAACAAAAGAAATTTCTTTTCCAGGAAACTCTTGCAAATGTATAATCTCAATTCTTCACATTGCAGTGTAAGTCTATTTCATTATTTTCGTGGATGATGCAAAAGAAATGGTGGCCAGTTATTTAGTAGCTTTCAGGAGCTAGGTCTCCTGTGAGACTTTTGTTGTTGTTGTTGTTGTTTGTTATCAGTACCAGGCTTGAACTCAGAAGCGTGGGCTCCCAGCTTTTTTGCTCACAGATGGCACTCTACCACTTGAACCACACCTCCAGTCTTTCATTTCACTGTGGAGTCTCACAGACTTTTCTACCCAGGCTGACTTTGAACAACAATCCTCCAAGTCTTAGCTTCCTGAGTAGTTAGGATTACAAGTGTGAACCAGCAGCCCCCATTTTTTTTGTTGTTTTGTTGGTTTGTTTTTCATGGCTTAGTGGGCCTTGGCTTTTCCAAGGCTGTCATCTACTTGGAGCCCTTACATGTGATTAGAACTATGGAGAAACATTAAACTAACATATAAAATGACAGGAAAAGTAGACAGCCTGTTAAGTAAATATTAGTAAAAATAAATTAAGTTTTTTTTTTCCTTATCTACTTTAAAAATTAATGCCTTGCACTAAAATCTTTTACCCACTACCAGTTGGAATCGAAATTAACCTAATTTTCTCCCACCTTAATTTCTCTTATCTAAATTGTTCCTGCTGCCTATTTGACCCAGAGGGTCTGGTTTCCTATTTTCCAAGCTAATATTTGCTATGTACTGTATTAATCTAGCAGATGATTCCATCAAGACCTACACTGACTCTGCTCTGTCAGTCTGAATTTAAACCCATCAATATAAAAAGAACCATAACCTCTTTCACAGGGCTGTTCAACATCAAAAGATTAATTTCTACTTCTGAATATGTCTGAACACAGGATGACTTCCTTCTGATTCTATTTGAAATCTAACCATTCTCTAGAAATCTGGTGTATCATCAAATTGGGATTGGTTTTGGAATTGAAATTACTTTGCTAGGAAATTGAGCGTGATTTTCTTCTTTTTAAATCAGTGCTGCTTTTATCATTTATTTGTTAATACTGGTGAATGTCATAGCACCCCTTCTATTCAGTAAGATCACTTTAAATTTCTAGCTGATTCTTATGCTGGGAATTGTAAGCTGCACAAGTAGCAAAGAGACAGACTCATTTATCATAGAATCTCTTTGGCTACTCCTCAGCCATATATATTAAGTGAGAAATTGTATTTGGTTGGGAGCAGCATAAACTAAAACAAACAAATGTTAACAACAAAAAAAATCCAGTCTGTAGAAATTAGAGGTTTTAGTTTTCTTTTATGTAGAAAAACCAGGTGCATAGTGTGGCATTCTATGATGTCATCAGGAACCTGGCCTCTCTCTATGCTACTCTGCCATTGTAAACAGGTGACTTCCATCCACTGCACCCCTTCCAGCAAGAAATAGGAGTAATTGAAAACAAAAACGTTGGTCCCTTTTAAAGATGTTTTCTGCATCTCTTCCAGCAACTTGTTCTTACATGTTACTAATCCCATGGTCACCCCTGAGTGCAAAGCAACCTGAGAAATGAACAGCTTTGGGAGAGTTTGTTCTGTTACCAGAGAAGAAGTGGGAGAGTGGATATTGGCTAGAAAATAGTGATCTCTACCACACATGGTATTCTCCTTCAATGAAGCAAACTTCTAGAGGAAATATAAGAAACCAGAAATTGAATTTCCATCCTCTCAGGGCTTCTATTCCTTTGCAGGCCAAAGGTATAGTGTAACTATCATCATCTCCTGAGACCTCACAAAATCAGAGGGACAAAAAGATTAAATTCCTTAAATAGTTTTGTTTACCAAAATTACCTTTGTTCCTTGCTAATCCAGTTTCTCTAGGAATGTATATTAAAGCAGTATGTTATACCCTGTTTTAGTTTTTCTTAACTGCACCCTGAAGTTTGAGACAAGTCCATCATTTAAACTTGCCCTTGGCTTTTAGTCAGTAATGAACAGTCTCTTGGGGATTGTTCCTCCTCAGTGTAGCTGAAAGTTGTAAACCTTATTCTTGAAGCTGCTGCTGAATCAGAGATTGTTGCTGTGGCAGGAAGGGAAGCTGAGATAACAAATGAAGTACAGTAACACTGAAATCTTCAAGAGGACAGGTCATTTCAGGCACAGGACCCCAGTGGTCTGTCTTTGTGCATGGCTTGGGGCCCCATCCTTCCGTTTCCATAAATTGTTGTCAAGGGTTGGCTTCATGCCAAGAACTAGAGACCCAACACTCAGCCAGGAAGGTTTGTCCTTGTCCTGAAGAGGAAGACTACTGCCAACTAAATTGGGACTCATTTCTATTAATAAAAGTACTGAGAACTGAAGGGTTAGGGATTTTACCCTACTGGCAAGCTAATGAGTTTTGGGTGTTGTCTTATGAGTGCTGGTGAAGTACTGCACACACACAGCTAAAGGACAGTTCATCACAGCACTAGCAGTATCCAGAGTGTTGGTGTTTTTACATCAGTTCCCTGAGCCCCAGTTCCCATGGCGAGATATGAAGATGAACAGGTCTGTTTGCCTTTTGTACACAAAGAAAGTGTGTTTTAGGAGGAGAACAGTCAGCTTAGGGAGTTAAAAGAAAATATCTCTTATAATAGGCAGTAAGCATGTCTGTTGGTTATACAGACATTCTTTAAAAGATGGTCTGGAATAAAGGCAGTCAAATGATTGGACTGGTAGGACATGGAGGGATTCAGAGCAGGCATGGTAGCCCTGTAATCTCTGCTACTCTAAAAGCAGAGATCTGGTGGACTACAGTTTGGAGTCATCCTGGGCAAAAAAGTTGATGAGGGGCTGGGAAATTGGCTCAGTGGTAGAGCGCTTGCCTTGCATGCATGAGGTCCTGGGTTCAATTCCTCAGCACCACATAAGCAAAAAGAAAAAAGCCAGAAGTGGCGCTGTGGCTCAAGTGGTAGAGCGCTAGCTTTGAGCTAAAGAGCTGAGGGACAGCGCTCAGGCCCAGAGTTCAGGCCCCACAACTGGACCCCAAAAAAAAAAGTTATGATGACCCCATCTCCCCAGTCTCAACCAACAAGCTGGGCATGATGGTGTGTGTTTTTTTTATCTCACCTACACAAGTAGCTTAGGTAAGGAGATCACCAGCTGTTTATCTTGGGCATAAACAGAAGACCCTATCCAAAACAAAACCAAAAACCGTGGATGTATGACAGCATCCTCATAGTAAGCACAAGGAATGTGTTGCTTAAAAAGAAAGAAAAGATACAGAGAAATTTCAGAGAACCCTGAGATGTTGTCTCCCAACAGAGTGCTTGTGCTTTAGATCAGGGCCCTTAGATGAGATTCTTTGTATTGAGACTGCTCAAGATCATTTCATTCTGTTCTTCAGGACCAAAGGTAAACCCGTTGTCCTAATAGACTAGTTGTCTAGTAGGTAGTTGTCTTACTAGGCCTCAGCTCTTCCAATGCTGTCATCCACTTTGAAACCTTAAACAGGATTGGTTCACTACTAAGAAACAAGAACCTGGCCTTGTTGTGCTCTGTGTCTTTCCTGTTCATGGTGTGATCCTTCCATTGCTATGTGCTGTGGCATGACCCAGACAAGAGGACCTTACTTAACCCTTGCTGAGTTGATGTCAGCTCCATACCTTGAACCAACCTCCAGAACTGTGAGCAAAAACCAGCCTTTTCTCTTTATAAGAAGTCTGCTCAGGGCTGGGAAGGTGGCTCAGTGGTAGAGTGCTTGCCTTGCTTGTATGCATGAGGCCCCGAGTTCACTTCCTCAGTACACATAAGCAGAAAAAGCCAGAAGTGGCACTGTGGCTCAAGTAATAGAGCATTAGCCTTGAGCTGAAGAACTCAGGGACAGAGCCCAGGCCCATGACTGACCAAAAAAAAGTCTGTTCAACATTGTTAAAACATAAACAGCCATAGAATAGCTAGTTCATGATTAAAAAGGAAAGCTTCTTTCAGAAAACCTACCTTTCGTTAGCCCAAAAGCCTTTGAAATGTTCATCCCTTTGACTTAGTAATTTTATTTCTGAAAATCAAGTCTTAAATTACCAGACTTCTTTGAAAATATATATATATATATATAAAACAAAAAATAGCATTTTCCCATGATTAGTTCCTATGTATTTGTTAAAAATGAGGTTTTGTAATTTTTTTATGCATATGTATGTGTGTGTGCACTGGTACTGAGGCTTGAATTCAAGGCCTCAAACCCTCACTTGGCTTTTTGTTCAAGGTTGATGCACTACTACTTGAACCATAGCTCCACGAATCTTACAGACTTTTCTTCCCTGGCTGGCTTAGAACTGAGATCATTAGATCTCAGCCTCGTGAATAAGATTACAAGTATGAGCCACCAGCACCTAGCTTTTTTGTAATGTTTCTAATTGTTGTGAAAGATTATTCATTGAATAACAATTGGCAAAAAGAGCAATCAAGTTTTGAGGAAGCTAATATATTTGAAAGATAGTAAGTCAAATTGTAAACTGGTTAACATTGATTGGCAAATTCTCAGTTACTCTCATTTCCTCTTTTCTGTGGTTCAGATTGTACAGTAAATATTGATAACTAGGGGAGAGATGTACTCTGTTTTTTCTTGCATTGAATGTGTCAGTCTGATGGAAAGTAGTTAGTAGCATTCTTTTGAAAGCAAAATCCAGTGCCCACATTTGAAGGTTTCCTTAATATAAGTAAGTGGGAAGGTCTCTGTAAGTCTCCTATCAGCCTCCACTCTGCCTACAGTAGCGTGCTAACAACTTCAAATGTATCATTTACACATACCCAGTTTAGGAGACTGACTGTCACGATCCTGAATACAGAGGAAGAAAGGAGGAACTTTTTATCTTGTTTGCTGTATCCCTCCTGTGTGCTAGATTTTCACTTAATGTTCACAGTAACTCAAATGTGGGGTCTGACAATACTTTTCCCATTTTACCAATGAGGAAATAAAATTGAAATTAAGTGCTTGGCCCTGATTCTTACAGCTAGTAATTGCCAGTGTTGAAATTTCAACCTATATCCAAAGCCCATGCTCTCTCCATTGTTTCCTGTCTGCAAGTTTTGCAGTTGTGAAATTCGATTTGCCATGGGAAAGCAAGTGTGAGCTGGTGGGCACCCATTCAAAACACTATTTTGGACTGCGAGCTAATGAATTAGGAAATAGCATCAAGGTAGGGTGAATGTCTCTTGTTACAGGCTTATCTAACTAGATATGGTTCCTGTAATTGAAATGCTGGCTCATTCTTGTTTTTGCTTATTTCTTCTTTTTATTCAGATTGTAATCCATATCCAATCAAATATGTTAGAAGCCTTGATAGATGTGCTACAGGGTGCTGCAGAAGGAAATTTATCAAGGTTTGTGAAAAGAAACAAGTTTTCAGAGGAAGTGGTAAGTAGGCATGTGCTGCATACATCTCTTAAAAAATGTTCACCAGTGACTTTTCTTTGTGGCCTCCAGGGCTTGAACTCAGGGCCTTGTGCATGCTATGCAGGTACTCTTATCATTTGAGCCATACTCTCAGCCCTCTTTTTTCTTCTTTTCTTTTCTTTTATTGTTGTGAAAATACCATATAGAGGGGTTACAATTACATGGGCAAGATAATGTCTTTTTTTCTTTATTATTTTTTCCAGGTAGGGTCTTACATTTTGCCTGGAGTGGCCTTAGACCACCATCCTCCTACCTATAACCTCCCAAACAGGTGGGATCACAGGAACTTACCAGCATACCTGGCTTATGATTAGATGGAATTTTTTGCCTGAGTTGGCCTTGAACACAGTCCCCTCCAGGGTACACCTCCTGAGTAGTGTGAGCCACCATGCCCCTCCTCACCTGGTGTCTTAATTCTGTAACCCACCTCTTTAGAGACATTGTTGACTAGGGTACCTTCTTTGTTGCTCCTGTTTTAAGACTTCCATGTGTCTTAAAAAAGACTTCTTTTTTTTTTCTTTTTCTTCTTACACAATATCCTCCAAAATGTTTCCAATTTGTTTCCCTGCATTGTTATTATGGTTCTAATCTCTCTTTTCTTGTGGACCACAATTTTATGCCTTTTACCATCTTCCCCTGAAGCCTCCAAAATCTTTTTCCTACTTCTTACTCTCAGTTAATGACCTTGTTTTCCTGTTTAATGGAGAAAATAGATACAGTGAGAAGAAAATGACTACCACATTCAAGCTTCTGGCTCATTTCCCTACATGCACATAGTGTTTGGCATTTATCTGTCAGCCTCTAATTACTCACTAGATCACATCTCCTCTGCCCCTATTCCAGGAAATCAGTCTAAACATGTCTCACTCTTTTGAGCATCATCAATATCTCCTCCCTTAGATCATTTCTATCATCAAATAATATGTTATAGTATCTTTCATCTTAAAAAAGAAGAAAATTAACCTGGTAGCTCATGGCTCTAATCCTAGTTGTTCCAGAGCCTGAGATCTAAGGACCATATTTCCAGTCCCAGCAAACAAAAATGACAGGCTATTTATTTTCAGTTAACCAGCAAAAAGCCAGAAGTGGAGGTGTGGCTCAAGTGGTAAAGTGCTAACCTTGAGTGAAAAAGCTAATTGAGAGCAAAAGGCTCTGATTTTTAGCTCGGGTAGTGTCACCATAAAAAACAAAGCAAAACAAAAACCTTCTATCATGCCAATGGAAGCAAAACATGTGTTTAGCTAGGAAAGTTGAGCCTCATAAAACGTCAATTCTTCCCAAGCTAAGGTAATAAAATAAGGATAAGGTCCCAATAAAAATACCACTATGTTTTCTTCTGTGTCTTCAATTTAGTTGAAAGAAGAACCAAAAGAGAATAGCTAGGAAGAGCCTGTGAAAAAAGAGAAATAAGAGTTATGAGGTAAAAAACTATAGTGTGGCTTAACTCGAATAGATTGATCTGTGGGACATAAGAGCAAGTCCAGAGATAGACTCAATTGCATGCCCAAATTTAGATGGAATGACCAGCATTTCCGATCAGAACGGACAGATTGGTACTGTGGCTCAGGTGGTAGAGTGCTAGTCTTGCGCTCTGAGTTCAGGGGCAGCACCCAGGCCCTGAGTTCAAGCCCCAGAACCGGCAAAAAAGAAAAATAGACTTGAAGAACTAGATGTTCCCTGTACATTTTGCAAGTTTGTTTCTACTTCTGAAAGGATATGAAGAACAAAGGACTCTTATAGAAACATAATGACTTGCTTTTCTTTTTTTCCAGCTGGCCAGAGTAAGGGAAAAAGTGAAAGATGTACCCACTCTTATGGCCAGATTTGATGAGATTTATGGGAAACTGCACATAAATGGCCAAGTCACCACTTGCACCTTGGACGCTCTGCTCTGCCACACCCCCAAAGATAGGACATCCCACACATTGCTACTAAAAAAGAGGACTATCAGCCATCGAACTCTTCAACCCCTCAACCATTCCCTGCTGGCTGAGTAACTATTTTCAACCTTCCTCATGGTTTGAGGAGCCTGAGAGGCAAGGCATCTTACTTCACCAGACATTTTGCTAACACTTGGTCTTCTGCTTAAATTCCAAGTCCACTGAGTGGTGACACATTGATTGAGAGGTTATGCTGCTGTGCCACTGTGAAGCTGCTCTTCAGTATCAAATGCCAATGGAAGAGCAGGGTCCTGTTTCCAGTACAAACCTCAACACCAGAAAAAAAAAACCTAAGTATCCTTGGGAAGGAATTTCACTGGAAGCCTAGTTGACCCCGACTCATTTTTCAAGGGAGGAATTACTTGAAAAATTACACTTTGCTGAATTTAGATCTGAAACCCTCTTCTGCCATGATGGGAAATAACTAAGAACTGTTCCACTGTTCACCACGTCTTGTCTGTGATCCTAAGCAAGGTACTTCAGCCCTCACTTTTCCATCTGCAAAATAATGGCGTCTATGTGCATTTGCAGATTGATCTGAAATTGTCATCCAAGGGTCAGTAGGGTTAAACTTTCCCCAAAGTCAAGGAAATAAAAAATAGCTGAGCAAACTTCTTGAGGTTGTGTTTGTTTTATCTTCTTAGCATCATAAACAAAATCAGAATTTAACTTTCAGGAATATGTTAGGCCAGACATGTTGCTACATCACTTGGGACATAGGGGCAAGAGGATCACAAGTTCCAGGCCAGCCTGGAAGCTAAGTTTTTGAGATTCTAGTCCTACCCACCAGCTCAAAAAAAAAAAAAAGAAAGAAAAAGAAAAGAAATGCAAATAACACCTAAGGCATTTTAATAAAAAGTGCTTATGTTTTTACTGCATTAAAGAAAAAGGAGGAGGGAAGGTAAACTGTGTTTTTCAAAAGAAATGCCACTATCAAATACCAATGCTTATTAGTCTTCTATGTGGATTATAAATATTTGGTGGTTCATCTTGTTAATGCTTTTCTCTTTGGATACGATGTTAGTTCTACAACAATTTGAAATACAGTATCTGGTCAGTTTTGCATATCAGGTCACTAGTGTGTGGTAAAAGATACACAGCAGCTCCACACCTCCCCCTCCCCCAACTTGGCCTTTTGTTTCTGTAAGCCTGGAGGAGCTTCTTTGTGGCTTCCATGTTAGTGCTCATTACAGAGTAATCTAAGTTCACTGAACAATAGGCTTAATTGTGGAAATAGGCTAAGCCTTAGCAATTTTTGTTAATGGCTTTATTGAGGATAACCCAAAAATTCCACAAACTTTTAACCAAGTCATAATAAATATTACTAAGAACTTATAGAGCAAGTGAATATTTACTTGATACAAACCAGATGCCAGTGGCTCACATCTGCAACCTTAGCTACTTCGGAGACTGGTGTGATTCCAAACTAGCACCGGCAGAAAAGACTCCATTGCAGTGCAAGAACCTGGACAGGAAGTGAGATTCTGTCTCAAAAATAACCTGTACAGATAAGAGGCTGGAGGCATAGTTCAGTGGGAGAGTGCCAAGTCTTTTCTTTGAAGTAAATGTTTTGTATCCTTTTGGTTTTGGTGGGTTTTGTTGTTTTTCAGAGACAGGGTCTCCCTATGTAGCCCAAACTGATCTGGGACTCATCTTCCACAATTAACCTCCTAAATGTGTTCACAACCATGCTCAGCCCCTGTTGCATCTTTTCAGTTTTCTGGTTTTTGTGGTACCAGTGCATCTAACCCAGTGCCTTGCACATGCTAAGCAAGTGCTCTGCCTCTGAGCTACATCTCCAACCCTGTTTAATTTTTTTCTTATGTTTTATATCTCAAGATTGTAACAGTATATATACTCACAGAGAACTGGTTAAAATACAGGCTGCTGGGTTCTATCTCCATTTCTAGTACTGTACATCTGAACTAAGGCCCAAGAATTTATGCATTTGAACTAGGATCAGTGAGTAGAATTGCTAATGAATTATTAAGGTTCACCTGGGCAATGAACTTCAAGAACAGTTGGTATAAGAGAAAAAGCTGTGTATCTTCATATAGATAGGAGGCTCAACTTTCGTACCCATTCTTGGTTATCTCTGGTCTCTGGTGAGGAGATGGAGGAGGAGGGAATCACCTTGTCTGTGGCATCTGCTGGGTGGCAGGGTTGATCCCAGCAGGCTGTTGAGAGACTAGTGCTGGCACTCATTTCTGAGGTTTGCAACCTCTGCCATCTGCCCCTACACTTAAGTGTCTTACTCTACTCTTGCAACAACCAACATAAAGTCATCCACAGGGTTCTTTGATAAGGAGTCCCAAGGCATTATCACTTAAGGATGATAAAAGTGTCTATGTTGCTTTCAAATACATAATAAATACATGCAAACTAAAAAGACAACATTTAGTAAAAACCATACTTTATAACATTTCTAGCTATAAGTGAGGGAAGGGGTGACATTGTCCAAAGAAAGAGTAAAACAAAAATGTATTCTTTACCTGACTTATATAATGGTAACCGTTCTGTACATCAACTTTATAATAACAAAAAAACTTAAAATTTCCATCTATAAATACGACTTGGAGGAATTAAACTTGGTAGATAAAATAGTCATTAAAAAAGTTACAGTGGGCCAGGCACTGGTGGCTCACACCTATAATCCTAACTACTCAGGAGGCTGAGATCTGAGGATTGTGGTGCAGTTCACAGCCTGGGCAGGAAACTCCATGAGACTCTTATCTCCAGTAAACCACCAGAAAACTGGAAGTGGTGCTGTGGCTCAAGTGGTAGAGTGCTAGCCTTGAGCTGAAGAGCTGAGGGACAGCGCCCAGGCCCAGAGTTCAACCTCACAACCAACAACAACAACAAAAACAAAAAAGTTACAGTGGCAAAAGCAATTGGTCAGTAATACTTGATTTACATAAAACTTTGTCACTAACCAAGTCATTGTAAAATAGATACCAATGCTAATGACTTAAGAAAAAAAAAACTATTTCTTTAGAAAGGAAATGGCTCAATTACATTGCATAGAAAATGAGTCAAGGGATTAAGTTGATTTAAATGCTATTTGCTCAAAAGGTATCTTCTCAGCAAAGAAGTGATTGTTACTGTAATTCTGGTGCATGTAGGTTTATCCATTTAACATGGAGTCAAAACGAGATCTTTTAAAAATGCCCTTATTCCTCATGGAGCTTGCATTATGCAAGTGCTAGAGACATCAAATGGGGAACTGGGCTGTTGGCCACATGACTACAACTGGGGTAAGTGCTGAGTGCAGGGTACATTCCATCAGTGGCCTTACGTAATAAGTAGTGGACATTTGCACCCAGCACACTCCCATCCTAGGGACCACAGATTGTGATTGTTTTGACACCGAATGTACATTGCCTCGTGTCACTGCAGAACTTTTTCTACCTGTGTATATCTAGTCTCTCCTGAAGCTGATGTGTTTTCCTTTTCTAGTATATGATCCTCAAATGCCTATGAAGCATAATAAGTAGGGCCTTAATATTTTTTTAAATAAGTGAAGTAATTAATGGCAGGCTTTTGTTCATTGGAATAGTCTACCATGATATACTTCCCAGTTTCTCATACACTGGTGGTTGTTTCCCCATTCACATAAGACAGAGCCAAGATAGGAAGAAGGAGAAGGGATTGGTTTGCACAGGAGACCTGGGCCAACCACTATATTCCTGTAGTGGCCCAGAGCCCCTCTCTCTTGCTCTGCTAGACCATGACGGCTTCCTCAATAGTTTCAAGTACTCAACTAATCTGATAAGTGACTTGGGGAGAGATGGGGAAGCAGGGATTGACCACAAAGGTTCCAAGTGAAACTTTGCAAGCTGCTAATGAAAGACAATTAGATGCCACTTATGCTCCCCAAACCTTTTGCCTGCTGCGGCCTCCAAAGATGGAGGCCTTTAGGGAGGAGCCTGAGAGTCAGGCAGCAGCATCATGGCCATAAAGATGAAGATGGGGGGAAAAAGAAAAAAAGTCCCAGAATGAAGGCAAACCACTACTTGCCTGGTTATCACTGGCCTGTTCCTGAAATGCCCCAAAGCTGGCTACTTTAGGAGAAAACACCCTCATTAATCAGACTCCAAGAGGAATAAGAAGAGGGAAGACAGCTCACAAAGCCTCTTGGTATCATGGCCTGTAAACCAAGTCACATTCTTGACAGCCAAGCAGCAGAACATGCTGGTATAACCCATTGTGCCCCCAGGGGGACACATTCTGTAGGCATGCATGCCAAGAGGATTATGGTGATCACCAGCTTCATAGCTGGAAATACCATACTAATGGTCAGGTAGCATGATGGGTGTGTTCTAGTTGCAATTGGCAAGATGGTCTCATGCACATCAAGGACAATTCTATTCCAATTGTGCTCACTGAGAGTCAAGGAGAAAACCAAGCAACAAACATGAGGCTTTAGGGCCAGAGGGTTTGTCTCTGTATAAAACTAGAGAGTGAACAAAATACCATTTCCAGTTTGGATTAACAGAGTTGCCTCTGATGCGTTGGTGACAAGAAGTTCAACGGTAGTAGTTTATAAAAAGAACACATCTAATAAATAAGACTTGCCATTTCTCAGGCTTTGTGCACATATCTCACTGAGTTCTCAAGAAAACACCAGGAGGACGCCGGGCGCTGGTGGCTCACGCCTGTAATCCTAGCTACTCAGGAGGCTGAGATCTGAGGATCGCAGTTCAAAGCCAGCCCGGGCAGGAGACCGTGAGACTCCTATCTCCAATAAACCACCAGGAAACCGGAAGTGGCGCTGTAACTCAAGTGGTAGAGCACTCGCCTTGAGCTGAAGAGCTGAGGGACAGCACCCAGGCCCAGAGTTCAAGCCCCACGACCGACAAAAAAAAAAAAAAAATACCAGGAGGGACTGTGACCCCATTTTATAAATAAGGGGTCTAAACCTTAGAGATGTTAAGACATTTGACCTAAGCCCAGCTGTAAATATCCCATTGTGGGCCCAACCGAAAGGCCCCCACCTTCCTTGACCTAGTGGCTTTTTCATTCACCTCTGCCTGCTTGCTCTTATCTCCTATAAAAACCCAGCTCCTGTCCCAACTCTTAGGTACAACCTCCAAACTGCAGGAAGGTCTGTGCCCTCGCTGTTCCTCAATAAGCAGTCCTCCCCTGTTGAGTCCTCCCCTGTTGACGATTAAGTCTGGCCTATTCCTTTTCCGTTCTCCTCCATTTTCCTAACAGAACAGTGTTTGAAAACAGACAATTGAATGTCAGAGCTTGTGTATCTACTGTCCATTTAAATGGTTCCTCTGCGTGTGTGTGTGTGTGTGTGTGTGTGTGTGTGTGTGTGTGTTTGAAATATACCCTGGTTATTCTTCAGTTGAAGATCTTAGAATATGACAGTAGAGGGCACCCAAAGCCCCTATTTTGTAAAAGGTGCTATTTTTTTTTTTTTTTTCAAAAATGTCTTCCATTTTTTGGAATTTCGAGAATAGAGGCCTGCACAGGCTACACAGAAAAGCTGCTCATAGATAGACTTTAGGGGTAATGTAGTAGGTTGCCTTTATTCAGGGTAAGAATGAGCTGTTGTTGAGAGGATGTTTTTAGGAGAGAGAAAGCAAGGAGGTTGATTCTCT